AAAAGAATGTCAGAATAATGAAGACGATAAACGCTTGCAGTATATGTTCATATCTGCACACATGCACAACGATCCTTGATTTTGAAAATGTTCATATATGTGCATCTCCTGCAGTCTATGTTCATATATGTTCACCATATGAACAACTTGTTTTCATTGAAAGACACAATCGTTGTTCACACGAACCCGTGACGATGTCATATGGTATGACATTGAAAAACATCACACCATATAAACATAGTGTTTACATTGTAAGACACAGATGCTATTCACACGAACATAGGGCCGACATGTGAACATATATGAACATATTAACATAGTGTTTACATTGCAAGACACAGATGCTGTTCACACGAGCATAGGGCCGACATGTGAACATGAGTTGTGAATATGTTCATAATYGATCGTAGGTTACAAATCGGCTGGAGAATATCGGGTTCACGATGCGTAAGGATTTATTACCAAAATACCCTGTGAACAGTTGTTCATAAGCATCCCAATTAATTTAATGATTAATTGATTATTTTTTAATACTCATTTAATATTGACCGTTTGACCAATTTACCCTTTGAACAATTGTTYATACACATATCAATTAATACATTAATTAAATTATTGTTTATTTAATCTCATTTAATAATAACCGTTTGATGATAAAATGAACGATCAAGATCGGTTCMSATAGTTTGTACCATATGGTTGGTTTCTATTTGAACCAGTCCCTATATAATATATGTGTATATATATAAAAGAGTGAAGTTAGAACATGTTTTATGCATCTTGGTTCAAATAGGAGCTTTCAAGGCTAGACATGATGATCAATAAGCATATATAGCACTTGGAAATGATGAATAAAGAGGAGAAACCCAACAGCGTGTATGTAGGTGATATGAACGAGACAGAATTAGTACGTAACGTTGCCAACTTTGGTGCTGTTAGTTTACCACTCCTCTTTGCATTTAAGACCAGTAGTTCAGATGATGAGACAATCATCAAATTATACAAAGCCATGGGTTTTGTTTTCGTTTCACCAACTCTCTACTCTTCATGATCTACCTCGAATCCTTATAATTATTATAAGTTTATATTTGGTTTGTAGATCATCAAAACGTGATCAAAATGGATATGGCTTTCGGATCATCATCAATGCTGTTGTTGGGGAAGTGGAATGAAGAAGATCATGTGAACCTGCAAGAGTTTGACATTAAACCAGATGATCATGTTGTGCCACCACTTCAACCTCTAACTGTTCCTCTAAGGAAACGAAAAAATCCTGCTGGTATCTCATGAATTCTATTTAAGTTGAATTTCTGACAAATAAAAGCTTAATTTGCTTGTTTTCAAGAAAACAGAAAACAAGTACGACAATGGTGTTTTCCTGAAATGGGAAGAAAAACCCTAATTTTATTTCATTTTAGTTTATAATATAAATAATTATTTTCTTATTTTTCTGGATATATAGATCTGGATGCAGCAGAGATTGTAGCACTATCTCCTACCACCCTAATGACGAAAAACAGGTTTGTTTGTGAGGTATGCCATAAAGGCTTCCCAAGGGATCAAAACTTGCAACTTCACAGAAGGGGACACAATCTGCCATGGAAACTTAAGCAGAGGACTAGAGATGTGAGGGTGAAAAGAAAGGTGTATTTGTGCCCTGAGCCTTCTTGCATCCACCATAACCCTTGTCATGCTCTTGGAGACCTCAGTGGCATCAAGAAACACTATTCCCGAAAGCACGTTTCTGAGCGGAATTACAAGTGCCTACGATGCCCAAAGATGTATGCTGTCGAATCCGACTTGAAGGCGCATTTGAAGGTTTGTGGCAAGAAAGGGTACCGATGTCAATGCAACACTCTCTTCTCAAGGTACATCATATCTTAACTAACTAATATGGTTTCCTATGTGTTTTCAAACTTAAGAAAATGATGGTTTTTGCTTCATCCTTCAAGAACTAAATTTCAGCTTCAATTCCGTCAAATAATTTCTTCTATGGGTTCGCGGTGTATGCGGTTTAGTATTTTTCCAAACTGCAAACTGTACCGCATAAAATCCAATAATTATAAGTTTACAATACATTACATAATCAACCATAAAATACCATATATAATCCAAAAAATAAAGAGTTGTAGTACATTCAATTCTTAAATACATATTGCATAATTAAAAATAGTCTAACAAGTAAAGTATAAACTTCAAACTAAATTGGACGTATGAGTTGTGATGTGTCGAACTAATTTATTAATATTGTCAACTGTCGTATTAGATTAAACTTGATGTTCAAAACACAAAGTCCAAAAATCTTACATAAGTAATAAACTATTATATATATATATATATATATATGTGTGTGTGTGTGCGCGCGCGCATGGGTGTGGGTTATATAAAATTAAAAAGGTACACAATATACGCTGCGGTTTAAATCATGGGTTGATAACTCAAAAACCTTAAACCGCAAAGTGTAAAAGTTCTAAATTACACTTTATGGTGATAGGGTACGAATGATTTGTACCTTTGAATAAAGACCTCTTTCATGATTGGTTTTGAAAAATCGAATTTTCCAAGTTTGCAGAAGAATCAACAATTAATAATCCTAGCTAGTTTTTAATCGAGAACAAATGGTTAGAACCATATTTAGGATAAATCATTTAATCTCAATCTAACAACATATATATATCTATATATATATATGGCCAAGATCAAATGCTAACCATCATTTTTGTGTTAACTTTATTAACTGATATTCTTTGTCATCCAAATCTATAATCAACGGTTAAGATTAATAAAAAAAATTTAAATTTTAAAGTTTGAATTTTAATGAAGCCTTGTGAACAATGATGAAAGGGGCATTTTGGGAAGAAAAAAATATACTTATCAAGGGTATTCTAGTAAATTGAATTCATTTGTAACCCCCAAACAATTAATGGGAGTTACAAACAATCAAATCACAAAAAATATGCATTCATATTATTATTATTTTTTTACTATTGATCTTCCATGTTCATTCTTGTATGAATTCCTAAATCGCATAAGAAACACGGTAGTAACAATTTGCGGTATTGATCAATTTGAACACAAATGAACCGTAAACACAATTTGAACAACCGTGAACACAATTTGAACACAAATGAACCGTGAACACGATATGAACACAAATGAACACGACATGTGCAATTTTTGGCCCATATATTCACATACATAAACGTCCCACAAAATTAAGGTAGCATCTGTTAATTTGTGTTCATCTGTTAATTTGTTCAAATTGTGTTCACGGTTCTTTTGTGTTCAAATTGTGTTCACGGTTGTTTATTTCAAATTGTGTTCATGGTTCATTTGTGTTCAAATTGATCAATACCGAAAATCGTTACTACCGTATTTCTTATGCGATTTAGGAATTCATACAAGAATAAACATGGAAGATCAATAGTAAAAAAAAATTAATAATATGAATGCATATTTTTTGGGATTTGATTGTTTGTAACTATTGGGATTTGATTGTTTGTAACTCCCCATTAATTGTTTGGGGGTTACAAATGAATTCAATTTACTAGAATACCCTTGTAAGGGTAAAATGAACAAGACATAAACCCATAAGAATAATGGAATTTGATTGGTTGAGAGGGTTTTCAAAGTTAACACAAAAATGATGGTTAACATTTAATCTTCCCTATATATATATATATATATATATATTACGTACGTGCCATGAAAATACAACTCCTTGATAGTATTCGGATAGCTTATATTCAATGCTTCTATTATATATATATATATATATATATATATATATATTACGTACGTGCCATGAAAATACAACTCCTTGATAGTATTCGGATAGCTTATATTCAATGCTTCTATTTCTTTCCTATACCATCTATATCCTATATCCTATGTCCTATATATAATTTATAAGTAATATGTAGTCCATCATTTTTTGTTTTCAATTGATTAGCATGCATTTTCTTCAATGTTTTTCAGTCTTTTGGACTTCCATATCTTAATACCACAGATTTGATAGGCACGACACTGCTTTGTTGGACCATTGTTACAATACATACATTAATTAGTTAGTTAACTAATTCTGCTATAATTAGTAGGGGTTGTGTTATTTCCGGGTATATATAAAGATTAATGTAATCCACACAACAACAATATAGAATTAATGATAAAACTAATTAAGAATAGTAGATTGAGAGAGAGAGAGAGAGATTATAATCAAAGTATGTCAATAATGATATAAAAGATTACAGACACTCTAGAAACTACAACTATTTATACCACAAGTTCAGAAGACTAGCTGTATATGGTCACATGACAGTTAAAGTCAGTTACAATACAAACAAATGCTAGACGGACGCATGGCCTAATATCCTCTCGAGTCTTCTGAACTTGGAACTCTTCAAGACTTGTAAGGATCACAGTAGTGGAAATAACATCTTCTTTCGGATCTTCTTTAAGGCACTAAGTCTGGATCCCCATTTCGGACTTTGCTCCAACTCTAACTCCACACAGTTAGATCTCTGACTAGTCTTCTACCAAAGTATGACTCTATACAATACTTAGTAATTTCTTGGTAGACATCTTCTCTGATCCAACTCATACAAAGTCTGTATCTACAATCTCCCCATTTGGAATCAGACAAGAATTTAGCAAAAATCTTCATTCAGTTACTTTTTTGAACTTCAAAGTAAGATTCCTCATATTAAGTGTAGCATCAATCAACAGCTCTATTTGCTCACACAGATCTGGATTCAAGTATCTTTTCTTGACTAAAGCCTCTTTTAAACCTCTAAGTGATCCACTAGAGTATTTGGCAGCCTCACTAGCTCTAAATAGACACTTCTTCATATCAGCATCTTTGTACATTATTCCAATTTTCGATCACAAACAATTGTTCCATCTCTCATTTTCTCAATCCCTCTGAGACTTCCTGTGTGCAGTAAGGTTCACCTTTTCTCTACCCATCTCCAAGGCTACTTGAAAGCCATGCATACTTGCCCATATTAATGATCTCTTCATTGCAACCTTTGCAGATGCCAAATCTTTTCTCATTATGAAATCCCTTCCTTCTCTTGGATTAAAAAGGCAATATAGGTAATAAAGATCAAAATCATTTGTATTAGGAAAATATGCTTTAGTGAAAGCAGAGACTTGACCATCCCCCCTTATTACTTCAAAATCTAGAAATTTATGGACTTTTCTGAACTTCCTTATCTTCACATCCCTCAGTTGAGTGATCTTGAGATTTGAATAACCAACTTTCTTTGATTTTGACTTTGTTCTCAAGAAATCTGAATACAAGGCGTTGAATTGAGTAGGCTCTTTCTGAAGTGTATCCAAACAGGTTATCAATTGAATTTTAGAGGCTCTTCTGAATAAATTCTCAAACCTGGTCTCAAGAAATACAATATTATCATCTATTTCCTCTTCATTATCTGGTAGAGTAGATTGAGTTGGTTCAACAATTTTCTCAGATTGGGCTTCAGATTGGATTTTAGATTGTTTGGGTACTTGAACTTCAGTTTCAGTTGCACTAGTTTTAGCTTGACCTTTCTCAGATTGAGCTTTAACAATGATCTCAGACTTGTCAAACTGCACAAAGAACTCAATAGGTGTATAAGCATCTTCAGCAAAGATCTTTAAATTGTCTTCTTGTAGACATTCTTTCCAACATTCCTTAGCCAATTTTCTCAGACAAACCCTTCCATTGATCTTCTTAACAACATCTCCTTCAAACCTTGGTTGTCTGACCATTTACTCATCTTTTCTAAAATCCATTTCAGTGTTGCACTTGAGTATTTAGGAATATCTGAAAGTGTAAACATTTGCATAACTATTTTTCTTGAAGAACAGCAAGTGAAAGCAACCTCAAGTAAATCAATAAATCTATTTAGATTCTCATGATGAGCAACTAAAGTAGTTCTATTTGGAGCCGCTATATTGATTCTCTCCGGTCTTTGTTCAATAGCTAGTTGAAAATAATACAATGATAGATTTCTAATAATACTCCCATAACTCTTCTGATTTCCAACTCAAGCACTGTTTCATCTACACTTTCAAAGAAGTAAACTAGAAAGTCCTTCTAGTCTTAAATTGTCCAAATCAGCATTGGTTACAAGGCATACTGATCCATCCTCTATAATAAATGTCAGAACCATATATTCAACCACTGCAAAATTCTTTTGTTCAAAGCATTCTACTTTCTTAATTGGACTCCACTTATGTATCCTTTCTTCAGTCTGATTAAATTGAATCAGAAACTCTAAGTGCATCATTTGAACCTCTTTACCCACGTTCCCTCAATCATACTTTCAACCATTACGTTCTCCTCAATGTCATCTAAATATAGGTAATCATATGCCTCATCTGGAAATTGATCTTTCACTACAATCTCATCTTCATCACTGTCATAAACCTCATAGATATTAATATCAGCTATTGGCTCTTCAATATCATCAAATAATCCTTTTTGGATGAAAATTGGATCTTCAAAAGCTTTCCCATCTTTCCCAGTACAATCTTTTCAACCATTGGCTCAACATATAAATATCTCGATCTTTTTCATTAAATCAACTTTGAACTGTTGTTGCATTTCTAATTGCTCACTTATCCGAGCTTCCACGTCCATGTGGTGCATTAGAATATACGTACACCGTCTTTTATTACCTGAATGATTACCACTAGTTCCTTGATGTTCATATTCAGACACAACTTCAGTTTCATCTCCTTCATTCACAGTCTCAACCCCCTTGACTTTTGCTCTCCCCCTTCTGGTGATCATGATCATCAAACCTTCTTTTATGCTTTCTAGACTGGACTTTATAAGATTGAGCATAATAGTTGGCCAAATTAGTCTTTAGTCAAGCAACATAATCACCTAGTGA